GAGAGAGAGAGAGAGAGAGCAGTGAGAGAGAGGTGCTATGTTTGATGGGGTTGCGAGAGAGACATGGTTTTGTTCAATTGGAGAAAGAGCGAGATGGGTTTAGAGATAACCCGAGAAAGAGGAATTGTTTGTTGGATGTTTCATGTTTTGAGACAGAGAGTAGTTTTTCGTCAATGGTTGTTTGAGAGAGAGAGGGTTTGGGTGCTGTACTTAAAAGGATGCTTCAGGGGTACAGAGAAGTCACTTTTGTCAAATGGGTGTCTGTTAGAGAGAGAGAGAGAGAGAGAGAAGGGCGGGGGTGTAGAGAGAGAAGAAAGGTTGCTGTTAGGCTGATTTATAAGGATAGTGCTTTTGTCATATAAGTTTTTGAGAAAAGTAGGGGTGGCAATCGACACGGACTCGATCCAGGACCGTCAGCTTATACTCGACATGGGTTCGGGTATGGGTCCAACATATGGACCGGGAGTTGGGTTTGGTTCCAAAACCTGAATCCAAACATTATTTTGGTTTGGGTTTGGGTTTGGGCTCGGGTCTCGTAAATTATTGGAGATAAAATACTTCAAACCCTATTCATTTGATTATGTATATTAAGGGTGATATAGAATAAAAACTAGTAGTCATTTTTAGCTGTTACACGACAAATCAGATGCTTTGAAATCTCATAACGAGTGATTGTGATCTTGTTACCAATAATATAAGTAAATGATTTATAAAAAAGATAAAAAAAAAAAAAGTTTATAGTGAGGGTGGCAATAGATTCAACGAGATCCGGGATCCGACAGGATAAACTCGAGACCTGATAGGTAGGAGTATGGGTCTAACTTTTGAACCCGATGGATCAAATCCATCTAAACTCTAGACTCGTATACTCTTCGGGTCTAGGTCCCGGACCCGACCCATACCTAGAGAGAGGCTTTGCAGATAACTCAGTGATCGATGCTGCTAATAACCATGTTTTCTGGTCTCATATTTTTTCCTAATTTTTTTTTTTTTTTTTTTTGCCTCTTATTGAGAGGAGAACAAGCCGCCCTTCCTATTTCGTTTGAGAAATAGAGGCAAGCCTGATCATTTGGCATCTAGAGAGAGAAAGAAAATTGGACGTTTAATTCCAAAAGCAGAGTTAGAGATAGATTGTGTTGTCAATACCTCATATCAATTCCAGAATGAGAGAGAAAAAGAGAGGAGAGAGAGAGTGAATCTGGTGAATGATAGTTGATTGTTATTAATTACAAAAGAGACAGTGTCTTTCCAGCTTTCACTCTCTTGTTTTGTTTCATATAAGAGGTGGGTTTTTCATATAAAATGTTATTTCTTGGCAATGCAAATAGAGTAAGTACAGTAGCAGTCAGAGATTTGAGATGCAGGACGATGCTACGCTGCACTGCACACTGCAGCATCGTCAGTTATCAGTCTCTGCTGCTGGTGGCTGAGAATCTTAGCGCTGTACTTCCTATAAACCCCCAATAGATTTTATTTTCTACCCTTTTTTTTTTTCTTTTTTTGCAGTTAAAATCTTTTGAACGATTTGTTGAGGAAAAAGTTTATATGGAGCTTACCTCAAAACTTTCACTACAAGATATTGTTTTGAGGCTCGAATATCATCAAATTTATCATTTCAACATTAAGATGCATGGATACGAGAAAAAAAATAAATTTCAAGTTTCATGAATGGTGCATCTCGTAAGACATTTTGTAATTACTAATTTTCAAGTTTTCATTGATATGCTTGATCTACGTTATCTTTAAAGCTTTAAATTTTATAACTAAATATAAAAATATAATTTAAAACTACCACAAAACTATTCACTATTGAAACCATATTTCTTGACACTATATGAAGGTGGGCCCTAAATTGATTGTATAGTACAAACGGCACCCTTTTCTTGTTAGGAGGGCTCTCTATGTGATCCCACCCACTTATATGATATCCCTTGTTTCCGATATGAGTAGATGGCTGAGATGGCTTGAGTCACAATGTCACGGGTTAACACTTAACTGTTAGATCTTGATAAGATGCGTCATAGTATTTTATTTTATTTTTTATTATACAAATAATTTTGAAGCAAAATTTAAAGCATGCATAGATATAACAAGGGTGCACATGATAAAAATATTTAATTTATGATGATGAAAAATTATCGGAATACCCTTGAAAATTATAGGGGCATTTTGGTCATCTATTTTTGCATAAAATATGTGTTTTTCCAAGTTCGCCCTAATTTTTTGAGGGGACTCCCAAAAATTTCATAAAAAATATTTTGAAGAAAAAATGAAAAATAAAACAGTATTTAACATGATATTTTAGAAATATTATATTTTATAACACAATTTTTGACCAACAATTTTCAAGATTTTCATATAATCTACAATATTTTTGAAACTTTAAACTTTATAAATACAAATAAAAATAAAAATATATTTTAAAACTATCACAAAAATTTCCAATCTTGAAACTACATTTGAAGACATTATTTGAAAGTAGGCTTTAATTTGATTCTTTAGATCCTGAGCTCTATGCCGACCGTACCCTATTCGTAATTTTTAATCTATTTTTTTATCTTTTTCTTGTTTCCTCTTTAGCCCTGATTTGTCTCTCACTCATTGACGTTGGAGTGTTTTTTGTTGCAGTTTTCTCTCTCTGAATTTCTCTCTCTACGTTTTATTTTCTCTCAGCTTATTTCTTTATATTCCACTCTAAATTTCTTTATTCACTTGTGGACGTACGAAGTATTGTAGGAGGGTTTTTTTTGACCTTTTTCTCTCTCTAAATTTCTTTCTCTCTCTCTCTCTGTGTTTTGTTTTGTCTCTCAGCTTATTTCCTTATTCCACTTTCGTCTTTTCCTTCTCTCTCTCTCTCTCGCTCTCTCTCGATGTTTCTTTTGTCGCGTATTCATCGACATTGGGAAGGTAATTTAGGGCCTTTTTGGACTCTGGGAAATTTTTACCAGTTTTTCAGTGAGAGAGATTATTCCCGGATCCAAAAACGGCTGCAGAGTTTTTTTCTTTTTTTATCTTGGAAGTCATTTCTATGGTTGGCTCCATAATTTCCTCCTAACACGCTAAAAAGATAATTTCTATGCAAAATCTTTTCCAACGGAACTGAACTTGTAATTTAAAGGAAAAATTACCTAAGGACACCAATAAAATAGTATATTACGTGCAACTCTATATTTTGGCGTGTATCATGCCGGGGTCCATGCCTAAGCCTGCCTGTTTTATTTTTATTTTTTATTTTTTTGTGGGTGCCATCCCTAGGTATGATGCTTTCAATATGGTATGATGTTCTCGATATCGATCAAAATTTCCTTTTTTTCTTGTTTAGTCTGGATCACCCTAAAACTCACGCTGTATGCTATGGGTAGATATTTGATATCGCAAATATCGTAGTGCTCAATTTCTTTGGTTTTGAGCGGTCTAGTATTGTCGGTCCTGGATTGCTCGAAATAAAACCTGCTTGAAATAAAATAAATCAAGCGGTTTGATATTTATGATATCAAATATCTGAACTATAGCGTAATGCGTGAGTTTTAATAGTCCGATATCAAAAACTTCAGACTCTCAGGAACCAGATAAATAGAGCAGTGCGATATTTACAACATCGAATATTTGGACTATACCATAAGACATGAGATTTAGGGCAGTCATATATTTCGAATATCGGATCGATTAAGAGAAATTTTTTTTTAAGAAGAAAGAAATAAGATGTAGAGAACATGAGACTGATGGGAACGTTAAGAGGAAAAAAAAGGGGGCCTACGGTTAGACCTCAGCGTAATATGTGTCAAAATATGGACCTGCACGCACGCTAGTATATTATATTCTTTCATGTCTATTGATAGGCTGATAGCCTCTTGGCGGCTTGCCGCCCAAATATAAGGGAGATTTCTCCTTTTCGCTCTTCTCCCATTTCCCAAAAAAGCTCTCTCTCTCTCTCTCTCTGGTTCTCTCTCAGTATATTGAAGTCTGTTTCTCTCTCTAAACAGACTAGCAGAGATTCCATATTTATCTACGTATATTTAGTTATCTCTTTCTCAATTAACAAGCTACATTTCTCTTGGCATCAAAGTATTAGGCGTGGCAATGGGTCGGCTCCGGGTGGGTTGGGTCGGATCTATTTGACCCGGACCTGATCCGACTAGGTTCCTTATGGAATTGGACCCAGACTTAAGTCTAGATATTTAAATAATATTTTGACATTGTATACATATTTTTTATATTTGAGCCGAGTCCACCCCGACCCAGATCGGGTCCAAGTCCTTTGGAACCAGATCCAATCCACCGGGTCCTACGTATAGACTTGGAACCAGATCTGATTGCCACCTCTCTACAGTAGTGGAGGCATAGGAATCCTCTCTCTCGCTTTTTCACTCACTCTCCCGCCCCAGGGTTCATGTAATTAGGTTCTTTTTTCCGTCTTCATGTCCCGAGTTCATGTAGTTAGGATCGTTTTTTTTCTTTCGTATCCCTTATCAATTTTTTTTTGGTTAGATCAATAGGATTATACCCCTCTACCCATTTTAAAATAATTAATAATTTTCAAATGTGAATGGAGTAGCTGAAGCTCGAGTGGTGGCACCATCGCGACCACAACCTCAACCCTTGTAAGTAGTTATACTCGAGTCTTCCACCCTTATGATACCTTAGCTTCCATCCTCGCGCTCTTCTTGTCTGTATCTT